TTATAACATTATAAATATATATATAAAATCTAGTGATAAAAGAAGAGTCTTATGGTAGAGATGCTCTTGAATAAGATCTCATTTCACTCCTGGGCTCAGGGAGAGTTCTGGCCTAGTGACTGTGGAGCTCCATAGTGACAACAGGAAGAAACACTGTGTGGTCTGTGCCGTCTGCACAGTTGTTGCTGTGTTTGTTTCCTTGTTTGAGTCCGTTGTTGCTCTCACTATGTCACTCTGTCTCATTCAGTGTCATCATCTTATTTCCTGACCATCTACTTTACCAGGCATGATCTCCTTCTTCAGGAACAGGTCCTTCTTACTACATGTCCAAAGTGTGGGAGACAAAGGGTTGATGTCCTCCCTTCTAAGGAGCCTTTTATCTGTCCTTTCCCCAAAACTATCACTGGGATAAGATGAATTCATACTTGCCAGACTCTTAAAACAGTATGCACACAGTGAATGCCAAATAAGCATTTGATTCATCGGAAAGGGTTTTTTATCCTATAGTCACAAATTTTAGTAAAAAACAAAGTCATCTCTCAAATAATAAAAATCATACTTTGGTATATTGCTGAAGCCCTAGTTACCCAGAAGTGCTTTACTTATCCTGAGTTAGGATCACATCAAGTTCATAAAACAAAACTAATGAACCTCTTTAGAATTTGAAGAGTATTTAAGAGTTTGCTTTTGTCTGAGACTTTATCTAGTTTCAGAAGACAGTAGACCATCTGAGTGTTGATATGCTCCATAGGAAAAGGATAAAGTCAGTTTCTACATTTCCAGCATGGGTATTGTAACTTCTTGTCTTTTGGCATAGGGTAGGAGCTTAGGAGTCCTTTTAGCCAATTGCAGCCTTTGAACGTGCTAACCTGGGGTAAAATGCTCAAAAGGAAAAACTGTGCTTTGTTGGTGAAGGTACACTGTATCTTTGAGACAGATCATTTTATTTTGGCCTACTTAGTTGCCTAGTATGCAGTTTGAATCCATCAGCTGCTCTGTGGGAAAAAGATGGGCAGTCTCTTCCCTTGTGATTTACTGCCTCTGAAAACCCATTGGACAATCAGCTATGAGTCGATTCTGATTTGACGGTACACTACAACAGGTGGCCCAATAAGGAGCTCTGGTGGTTAAGTGCTAAGGAGTTGTACCACCTGTCCAAAAGCACATGGTTCAAATCCAGCAGCTGCTCTGGGGTATAAAAATAGGCAGCCTCCTCCTTTGCAATTTACTGCCCCAGAAACCCTACATAAAGGTCATCTGTGAGTCAGTCTTAGCTCTCTGGTGCATAACATTATTGGCCTGATAAGTTATATTTATTGGTCATTTCAAGTGAAGCTAAAGACTAATAAACAGTTTTTCTTCTTACTATCATGCTAACTTTCCTAGAAGATTTTGTTCCCCTTCAGGATCTATAAAGTCAGTAACTGGTTAATAATGGTGTTCTCTCTCTTTAAATTTGTTATCTTCTTAGATTATACACCCCAAAACTGATGATCAAAGAAATAGATTGCAAGAGGCTTGCAAAGACATCCTGCTGTTTAAGAACCTGGATCCGGTAAGAAATCTAAATGAAAGAATTTTTTTTTCTTTGCTCATAACTAGCTTCAAGAATGTACAGGATCTTGGATTTTATCCTACTCACATGCTAACAAAGGGGCCTCCTGGCATAATAAGTCATTTCATGACAGCAAACTGGAAGGGTGGTGATTCACACTGATCCAGGGGCCCTTGAGGAGAAAGACCTGATGACTGAGGAAAAATTATGGTCTTTAGGCATCGACTGTTACTCCTGACAACCCTGTGAACCACACATTGAAGCCTTCCCCTGTCTTACACGTACTATATTCACCATTTCAAGCCCATTGTTGCAGTCCCAATGCCAGTCCATCTCTTGACAGTGTCTTCCTCTCTTTGACTGATCTACTCTTCCCAGCATGATGGCGTTTTCCAAGGCCTGGCACCTCCTGACATCATGCTAAGAGTCTGAGAGACTAAGTGTGATCATCTTCGCCTCTAAGGGAGACACTGTTTCTACTTCCTTCAGGACATGCGCGTTTGTTCTTGTGGCAGTCCATAGGGTGTTCAGTACTCTTCACCAACTACAATTCAAAAGCATCGAGTTTTCAGTCTTCATTGTTTGTCGTCCAGCTTTCAGATACCTGTGAAGCAGTTAAGAATACCGTAGCACCTTTATCTTTGCATGTCTGTCCTTGAGCTCCATTTCAGCAAGGTCCTTCACAGGCAGTTTTGCCCAGTGCAGTAAGTTAATTTCTTAACTACTGCTACCCATGGATGTTGATTGTGTGGATCCAAGTAAATGAAATCCTGGGCAACTTCAATCTTTTATCCATCTGTCTGATATTGCCTTTTGATCCTGATGTGAACATTTGTATTTTCTTGATGTTGAGGTGTGTAGTCTTTGATCTTCTTCAAATTCCTGTCACCTTCTGCAATCAGGGTTGCATCATCTGCATAAATTTATGTTGTTCATGAACTGTCTTTCAGACCTGATGCCATATTCTTTTTCATATGGTGCCTCTTTTCTAATTATTTGCTCAGAAGACACATTGAATAGGCATGGAGGAAGACTACAGCTCTGGTGTGTAGGATTACAGCCTGGAATCCCCTGTGGGCCAGCTTGTCTCTGTGACATGGGAATGCTAGGAACCAGAAATGGACTCACTGGCACCTTACAGTGATGCATTCTGATAAGCTTACCTCATGCTGCTTTGTGAATGCTGGCCAGAAACAAGGGATTTACTGAAAAAATCAGCAAGAACAGTAGCCAGAGTCTGATGGCTTCATGACGGTTTGTGTTGGTCTTCTCTCTTCCCCTGGGGGATGCTGAAGAGCCATTGTGAGTATGTAAAAAGTGTGTTACTTTATAAAAAAAGACCCCTGGATTTAGGGGTCAGCTGCTTCAAGAGCAAACAGTCAACAGTCCTGCTGTTTATCTGCGGGATAACCATATCTCATCCTTCAAGATTACTTATTACAAACACCATCCTGAGAAATGACCAGGTTAAGTGAGGTCAGTGCTGGGCATTCTTTGTGCACCCAGCAAAAATGTAGAACAGAAATATTCAGGACCCATAGCCGATTTTCCTTCTCTGTAACCAATTGTTGTTGTTCGTAGGTGCCATCAAGGTGAGTATGACTCAGCGACTGTATGAACAAAAAGATCTGAACCTTATTCTATCCTGTGCCCTCTTCACACTTCCTCACACACAAGAGTCCACTGCAGCAGTCACCATGTCAGTCCAGCTGGTTGAGAATCTTCCTTTCCTTTGCCGACCCTCCACTCTTATAAGCATCATGTCTTTCTCCAGGGAATAGCCCCTCCTATAATAAAAAATAGTAATTCTATCTTAATACTATATAATTTTTCCTTTCATGTTACAGATAATGCAAAAGTAACCTTTTATTTGCCTTGAAAGGCAGGAGAGTATTTTGGTTTTTTTAAAGGACTTTCATGTCTCTCATCTCTGGTTTTAGACTTCCTTTTTGTAGGCCTTTCCTCAAAGTGAGTAAGCATGCTGTTGATGTGCCGTTCTGCACTCGGACGTCATCACAGGTCGTGTTTATTCATAGCTGAATACCCATCTGGGAAAGGCTTCCTACTACCCATGTTCTGAATGTGAAAACTTGCATTGGTTTTTGTCACTTACCCAACTTCCTCGTTTGGTTCCAACACAACATCTCGTAGGATGCTTGATGCAAGCATTGAGTCAAGACCCACTATTTTTAAGATAAATTCTCCTAAAAACAACGTTTTTGTAAAGATGTTGTTGTTAGGTGCTATTGAGGACTCATAGGGACCCTGTGAACAAAAGATCTGAACCCTCTTCTATCCTGCACCATCCTCACACTTCCTGACACACAGGAGCCCATTGCAGCAGTCACCGTGTCAGCCCACCTGACTGTGGGTCTTCCTCTCCTTTACTGACCCTCCACCCTTCCCAGCATCATGTCCTTCTCCAAGTAATAGCCCCTCCTAGCAACCTGCCCAAAGTATGTGAGGCAAAGCCTCATCATTCTTGCCTCCAAAGAGCACTCTGGCTGCACCCTTTCTGAGACATATTGTTGTTCTCCTAGCTGTCCATGGGATGTTCAGTGCTTTTTTCCAACACCACAGCTCAAAGGCATCAGTTTTTTTTCTGTCACCCTTATTCATTGTCCTGCTCACAGATGCATAGCAAGATACCAGAAAGACCATGGCCTGAATCAGATGCACTTTAGTCCTCAAACTGACATCATTATTCCTCAGTAATTTGGAGTGGTCTCTAACTGCAGATTTTCCCAGTGCAATGCATCTCTTTAGTTTCTGATTGCTGTTACCAAAGGCGTTAATTGTAGAACAAGCCGGATAAAGCTGTTGATGTTTCAGTCTCCTCTCCAAACAGCCTAGCAGTCCAGTGATAGGAATCTGTTTTCTTGGCATTCCTTGATCTTCTGCAACAAGTGCTTCAAGTCTTCCTCACTTTGAGCAAGCAAGGTTGTGTCATCTGCATACGGCAGGTTTCTAATGAGTTTCTCTCCAATCCTGATGCCACACTTCTAAGTAAAAGAACTGTTCAGAATATTTCAAAGGGCAGCTCTAGAAGACAACGCAAAGTATTATAATGGAATATGCTTCAAGCTGAAATTAGAGAATAAAAAGCAAAGAACTTGCTCTGCATATCTGTGCTGTGAGAACTGGTGAACAAATTTGAGCCTAATGTCGAAATACTTAAAGAGGCTATGGGCAATATAGTGAATGAGCCAGAAACTATCAAAAGAAAATGGAGGAAATACACAGAATCACTATACCAGAAAGAATTGATCGACACTGAAAAGTTTTAGGAAGTACTATATGAACAGGAACCAGTGGTATTGAAAGAGGAAGGAAAAGCTGCACTGAAGACATTGACAAAAAATAAGGCCCCAGGAATCGATGAAGTACCAATTGACTTGTTTCAGTTAACAGATAACAGCCTTGGATGCACTCACCAATCTGTGCCAGGAAAGTTGGAGCTGTCTGGCCAACAGACTGGAAGAGGTCCATGCTTGTTCCCATTCCCAAAAAAAAGGTGATCTGAATGTGGAAACTATTGAACAGTATCATTAATATCCCATACAAGCAAAACGTTGCTGAAGATCATTCAAAAATGGCTAACACAGTACATAGATAAGGAATAGCCAGAAGTTCAAGCAGGATTTAGAAGAAGTTGTGGTACCAGGGATATCATTGCTGATGTCAGGTGGATCCTGGCCGAGTGTAAGGAATACCAGGAGAAGGTCTGTTTGTGCTTTATTGACAGTACAAAGGCATTTGACTTTGTGGATCATAACAAGTTGTAGCTGACATTGAGAAGAATGGGAATCACATAGGGCTTAATTATGCTCGTGTGAAACTTACACCTGGACCAGAGACTGTTACGAGAACAAATCAGGGGAACACTGCATGGTCTAAAATTGATAAGGAAGTATGTCAGGGTTGTAGTCTCTCTCCAAACCTATTCAGTTTATATTATGCTATGGTTTGGGGGTTGGTTTGGTTTTTTGGGGTTTTTTTTTTTGGTCAAGATGGAGGTGTACTGAATCATTTCGTGTCTTGTACATAAGCCATATTTATATTCCACAAAATTTAAAAAATACCCTTTCTTTGTAATATTTTCTCTGTTTCTTGATCATGTTCGTCGGGAGCATGGGTTAGTTACATTTTGTGTAACATTGCAGACTTTGTTTCAGGACAGCATTTTACCAAGCCTGCCTGAACTGATCGTACAGTATCCATTGGCCTCTTCATCCACCATCCATTGTTTTAGAGCATGGCACTAAAATCATGGCACTTTTTAGGAATGGCATCCACTTCTGTAATAGCTTGCCTCCAAAAACCCTGTAAACCTGGAGAAAGGATGAAAGTCACTCAAGTGTCGAGAACTTTAGTTCATAGGGTCACTATGAGTCGCCTATGGCTCGACGGCACTTAACAACAACCTCATATACTACTTGAGGTGCTACACCTGCACTGCTATTATTTATTAGTTGCTGTCGATTCTGATTTATGGTCACCCCGTGTGAATGAGTAGAACTGCCCCAAGGAGTTTTGAAGTCTGGGATCTTCTAACAGCACATTAAGTTATCAACCCTTTGAACATACTTGTACTCTAATGGTGTCTGACTTAAGGCTTTTACATGTGTGGCTCTGATCTGCTTTTATCTCTCCATGGTTATTCACTCATTTCGTTCAACCAGCATTTACTGTGCACCCTTTCATTACCAAGCATGGTGGTTAGTGAGGAGGAAAAAAAGACCAGGTTGAAAACCAGGGTTGGTATTGAGGCTGGCCTGTGGAGCAGATGTTCACTCGGGGAAGGCCTCCTTTCAGTGTGGTCCGGGGTTTCTGGAGTCATCGCTGAGTGTACAGTGAGGAGCTCTAAAGAATGTGGGTGGTTTTCTGTAACGATGAAAGAATAACAAAGATAGAGAATGTAGAAAGTCAGTCTGTGAATGGAAAAAAATCTCTTGTACCATTAAATAGTGAAATAAGTAACGAAAGGGAACATTTGAAAT